GAGGGGCAGGGGAGGAGGGGAGGGGACGAGGGGAGAGGGGAGAGGAGAAGGGAGGGGAGGGGAGAGGGGAGGGGAGAAGGGAGGGGAGAAGGGAGGGGAGAAGGGAGGGGAGAAGGGAGGGGAGAAGGGAGGGGAGGAGGGGAGAGGACGAGGGAAGAGGAGGAAAAGGAAAGAAAAGAAAGAGGATACAAATTGGGAAGGAGGAAGTCAAACTATCCATATCTGCAGATGACATGATTCTATATATAGGGGATCCAAAAGATTCCAAAGAGACTATGTGAACTCATAGAAGAATTTGGTAAAGTGGCAGAATATAAAATCAACACACAAAAATCAATAGCCTTTGTATACAGATGACAGTGCCATAGCTGAGAAAAAACTTCTAAGATCAATCCTATTCACAATAGCTACAAAAAAATAAAATATGCTGGAATAAATTTAACCACAGATAAAGAGTTTTATGATGAGAATTGCAGAACATTAAAGAAACAAATAGAAGACAAAAAAATGGAAAAATCAGTATCATCAAAATGTCCATACTACCAAAAGCAATTTACAGATTCAGTGTAATCCCAATCAAAATACTTCATCAAAAGGACATTCTTCTCAGATCTAGAATAAATGATGCTGAAATTCATATGAAAACACAGATGTCCCTGAATAGCTAAAGCAATTTTATGCAACAAAAACAAGCCAGAGGCATCACAATACCAGCTTTCAAGACATACTACAGGGCAGTGTTAATCAAAACAGCCAGTACTGGTATAAAAACAGATGAATAGATCAATGGAACAGAAGAAAAATGCCAGAAATCAACCCACACATCTACAACCAACTTATCTTTGACAAAGGAGCTAAAATCAATCCCTGGAGCAAGGACAGTCTCTTTAACAAATGGTGCCAGGAAAACTGGATTTCCACATTCAGAAATATGAAGCAGGACCCCTACCTCACACCTTATACAAAAATCCACTCAAAATGGATCAAAGACCTAAATCTATAACCTGATACCATCAATTGTTAGAGAACATTGGGGAAACTGCAAGACATTGGCATAGGCAAAGGCTTCTTGGAAAAGACCACAGAGGCACAGGCAATCAAAGCCAAAGTTGACAAATGGGATTACATCAAATTGAGAAGCTTCTGCACTGCAAAAGAGACAATCAGTGAAGTGAAGAGGCAATTGACAGATGGGAGAATTTTTTTTGCAAACTATGCAACTTGTAAAGGATTAAAACCAGAATATATAAAGAGATCAAGAAACTCAACAACAAAACAAACAACCCAGGTAAGAAATGGGCAAAGGACTTAAGCATTTTTCAAAAGAGGAAATCCAAATGGCCAACAGACATATGAAAAAAAATGCTCAAGATCACCAGTCATCAGGGAAATGCGAATCAAAATCACAATGAGGTTTCACCTCATCCCCATTAGAATGGCTTTCATACAGAAATCAACAACAAATGATGGTGAGGATGTGTGGAAAAGGTACCCTACTCCACTGTTGGTGGGAATGTAAACTGGTACAGTCACTGTGGAAGACAGTATGGGAGATAACTCAGAAACCTGAATATAGATCTACCAAATGACCCAGCCATCCCACTCCTGGTAATTTACCCAAGGGAAATGAAACCAGCATATGAAAGATTTATCTGTACCTCCATGTTTATTGCAGCTCAATTCACAACAGCTAAGATATGGAATCAACCCGTATGTCCATCAACTGAAGACTGGATAAAGAAATTGTGGGATATGTACACCATGGAATTCTACACAGCAGTTAAAATTAAATCCTGTCATTTGCAACCAAATGGATAGAAATGGAAACCATCATAGTTAGTGAAATAAGCCAGTCCCAAAACAAAAAACACCATCTGTTCTCTGACCTGATAACAAATAGTGCACCTAAAAGATAATCTATAGAAGTGAAATTGACACTTTGAGATGCAATGACTTTGAACAGCCCTTGTGTTGACTATTGAGTTTTTTTCATACTCCTTGCTGCATTCTTTACTTAGTATACAGTTAATAGTATGTATTTTAAAGTTAATTGAAAATAGATCTTGGTAAAAAAAAATAGGAATATGAGTAGTAGGAGGAAGAGGGGTGGGAGTATGTGTGGGAGGGTGGGTCCGGTGGGAAGAATCACTGTTTCTAAAGTTATATTTATGAAATGCATGAAGTTTGTATTCCTTAATTAAAAGGTTTCTGGGGAAAAAAAAAGAAAAATATACTTAAATATTGGAAGTTTGATCCTGCTAGCAAATTAATAGATAATGAAGTGGCATTTTATACTAATAATACATTATAATTGTTCCTATTGATTATCTTGCTCTTACTATGTTCTTATGAATAAGGAACAAATGCAAAGGAAAGCAAAGCCTAGTGCTGGTAGTGCGTGGAGGACAGAGGCAGTGATGGTGGAGGTGATGACACAGGGAATCTCAGGTTTGAGAACTTACCCCAAGGGAGTGATGTAAAGGAAGAGGGGAAAACTACAAACACAAACTTGCTCATCGTAGAGTTGTTAATCATAGCTGAACCGTAAACATCTGATCTACCCAACAATAGACACTTCACTACAGAAGGAAGTGTGCACCCATGAGACAATAAACACGGGAACCAGTCAGGACAGATGTGATCAGTTAGGGACAACTTAAGTGAAAAGAAATAGAAATAGGCCATTCAACTGCAGCATCAACTTACTAAAAAGCTCTAAGTATGGGAATAGAGAAATTTTGGCTTTTTCAGAATGTATGGGGTTGTGGATAAGACAATTTTTTATTAGTGTTTTAAAACTGTTAATAAACAAATTTAAAATTAGAAGATATAAAATACATTTAAGATTCCATTAATTTATTCCTTCCAAAAAGTGACTTGGCACCTTTCCTTCTCTCACAGTCTTCATTAGTGTTGACTGTGAGGTTGCCAATGGTTTCACACCAGGGGCTTCACTGATGCGCCCCCCCCCCCCCCACACACACACCCCAGGGGCGTTCCCTAAGCAGGGGCTTCCACACTGAAGCTGCAGGTAGCAGCCCTAAGTGGGGCTCTTTGAAGCCTGGGCTCCTCAGAGGAGGGGGAGGGTCCCAGGAGGCAGGCATCCAATCCTTCCCACCCACTTCCAACAGAGCAGCCCCCCAGACACACCCCCACACGCCAGCCTGCTCTGGATTAGCGCGTCTGCAATGGCACACCGCCAACCAGAGTTTCACAACTGCTTGTGTGACAGAAAACCCATGCAGTCAGGAGACCTTGAAGACTCACTTTTCTTAACTGTGAGATGACAGCAAGAATCCCCACCCCTCTCACTCTATCAGGGGAGCTAGATGAAACTGGAGGTGCAGAGTGATTTGTACTATGGAAAGATGCTATGTGACATTTATTATGACTACGTATAAGGAGCAGGATGAAATATTGTAAGACTTCACTCAGATGAGGACCTAGAGTGATCAAACACGCGGGCACAGAGTGTAGGATGGCAGTGGCCAGGGGCTGGGGAATGGGAGTTGGTGTTCAGCAGGTACAGTGTTGCAGCTTGGGAAAAAGTAGTCATGCAGCTGGATGGTGGCCACAGTTGCGCAATGTGAGCATGCACATGGTGAAAGTAGTCAGTTTTGTGTTATGTGTATCTGCCATAGTGAAAATAAAATACAGGGGCCAGCATCGTGGCATAGTCCGTAAAGCCACAGTCTGTGAAGCCAGCATCCCATAATGGCACCAGTTCAAGTCCTGGTTGCTCCAGTTCCAATCCAGCTCCCAGGTAATGTGCTAGGAAAGCAGAAGATGGCCCAAGTGCTTGGAGGCCTGCACCCACGTGGGAGACCTGGATGGAGCTCCTGGCTCCTGGCTTTGGTCTGGCCCAACCCTGGCTGCTGTGGCCATGCAGATCTCTCTGTCTCTCTCCCCCTCTCCAACTCTGCCCTTCAAATAAAATAAACAGATCTTAAAAATAAAATACTAACATAAAGGAGTCAGCTGCAGATGGTATGGCACAGGAGTAAGGAAATGAGGGTTTCAGAGCTGCAGGGGCTCTCCCACGCTTCACTGGGCAGGGATGACGTTACAGAGGAGGGGTCACAGCCGCGATGAAGACATGGAGGTAAGGAGGTGTGTGGCCGCAGGGAGGGGGCGACAGCTGGCCTGCGCGGAGCTCTCTGCCCCATGGTGCTGTGATCAAAGCTACCAATTATTTTTATGAACCCGTCTCCATGTGCCTGCCCCATCTTCCACAATTTCATTAATTCAAGGAGTCCTTGCTCAGGGCCTCGCAGTGCCAGGCACCTTTGTCAGCATTCAGGGGTGGAGACTGCACAGAGACCCCCACCGTAGCAGAGGAAAGCTGACGCCCAGCCAGCACTCCCTGTGCTGCAGGCACTCAGCCTCACTGAACCCAATTCATCTCCCTGGTAACCCACGAGCCCCATTTCATGCAGGGAGCGGTGCAGCCTGTCCAGGCCATTTGACCAGTCAGGGGCAGAGCCTGGACTCAAAATGAACAGTGGGTGTTACCGTGCTGCCCACCCCACAGCTGGGCCCAGCATGTACACAGGTGCGGAGGGGTGGCTCGGCTCGGGCCTGGGGCACAGACTTTGCGGTAACAGCTGGTTAGAAAGCAAGAGGTGGCTCCAATGGCATGAAAAGGGGAACCGATCTATCTGGGGGGGCTTCCTGGGCGTCGGGGAAAGAGCACTGTCAGAAGTTCATGCAAAGGGCGCCCTTCCAGACCTCTGGAGCCACGCACGTTCTGCCTGGGGCCCTGGGGCCCTGGGGCTGGTGGGGCACAGTTTTGGACGTGCTGAGTGGGCAGGAAACGCCATCTGCTTCATTGGTTTATTTGCAAATATTTACTGAGGGCCTGCTCTGTGCCCAGCCCACGCCGAGGCTGGGGTGGACAAAGGCCACAGGCAGGAAGTCCCGCGTTTACACATTCGCCTTCCCCAACGAGGCGCCCACAAACCAGCCCTGGCCCCGGGGAGCCTTGGCCCCGCACCACCTACCTTTTTCCTGCTCAGCCGCTTCACTGAGTTCTGGGAGCCTGAGCCCCACCAGGTTCTGATTTCTCATCAGGATGTGCTCCTTTGTGGGAGGACAGAGAGTCAAAGTTTCAGGGCACAGCATCGGGCTGCATTCCTCAGTGGGTTCCCTGGTTCTGTGACCCCGAGCCTTAGGAGACTGGATGGCGTGGCACAGTGAGATATGACAGACACCAGGATCACAGCTTCTCTCCCAGCCCGTAATGGTGCAAGAACCACCCCTCCCCCATTAGCACCATGTTCCTTGGGGCAAGAGTGGTCCTTGGCAGGGTCTGCTTGGCAAATGAGTCCATGGGTCTGAGGGTGAGCGATTTGCTGAACCACACTGCGGCTGCAGCTGGCAGGGGGCAGGGGACAGGGGGACAGAAGGGTAACCTAGGTGCGTACTGGGTGCTCTTTGAACAATCCCCTATGATCTGGTGGCTGGCTGCAGCTTTCTGCCCCGCTGTTCCGGGCACCACGTGCCCACACCCAGGACTTGTGGCTTCCCCACCCCCTCACTTCAACAGCTTCCTGTGGTGCCTTTTGGATTTTTAAACTCTCAGGACACATGAGGGCTGGGCCCTGCTGCCCCGAGGCCTCAGCCGTCAGAGCCTGGCAAGATGGGAGGCTGAGCACAGGTGTGTGGCACAGGTGTGTGGCACAGGTGGGCACCAGTCCAGGGTCCTCAAGTGGAAATGTCCAGCAGAGCTCCTTGACCCTGTGACTGGGCCACCAAAGGGTTCTTTTTGTCTCCAGGGTGGCAGCTCAGCCTTTTGGATAAAGGACAGGAAGAGGCCAGCAGGGGGTGCTCATGACCCAAATGGAAGTCCAGGGCTGGAGCCCCCGCCTGGTGCTCAGTCACCAGGGTAGTGGTTAGTGGAATGTGTTAACATTTTCTGCCTCACACTCCAGTCTGTCTGTCCTACATATCTCTGGATATGCCAACTCACCCCCTGCAGAGGCTGGCGGCCCAGAGACTATTGTGCCTGGCATGATGGCCTGTGGAAGCTGGGGGCACGAGAAGCAGCTCGCCGTGGAAGACAAGCCTGCCACGGGCAGCATCGTACTCGGGGGCCCTGTTCGTGGGCATCAGGAAGAAAGCTTGGGGTACCACAAAGGAGAAAACTACTCCATCCTTGCTGAGCCCTGAGGGCATCCCAGCATGCACCCCGTCGAGGGACCCAGGAGGAGGAGGAAAGCTGCCCAGCACTGGGGGACCCCGTGTCCTTCCCCTGATGGGTGGCATCATGTGGCAACTATACCCAGGCTGCCTTCCACCCAGTGCCAAGGTCAGAAGCTGACACCTGAAGCTGGTGTTCTAAGGAGATGCCTGCCACCCATGTGACCTGGCCTCTCGCGGTTGGGGAGCTGAGCACCCTGGAAGGCCCAAGTCCTGGCCAGAGCCACTCTCCCAGGCCCCAGTGTCAGCTCAGGGACCTGCAACCCAGGGGTTACCTGGTGCTCACACCATGCCCAGCAGCCCCCGGGACCTACCTCACGGAGCTTGGTCAGCTTCTGCATCCGCACAGGCTGCACTTGAATCTGGAAGTCTGTAAGCCCTGGCGCCTTGGCCAATTTGCCTTTGCCAGAGAAGCGCCTCTCTTCCTCCGCCAGCGGCAGCTTGGCCAGAACCTTCTGCAGCCGGGGGCCTGGTGCTTCAGGGCCGCTATCCCAGGAGACACCCCGCAGCAGAGGGGGCCGGGGCGCAGGGGACCGCAGCTCAGCCGGCGAGCCCACCTTGGGCCCCGTGGGCTCACCAGCCGAGACTTTTCCCTGGGAGGCTGGGGTGGCCGGCCCCCCTGGGCCGTGGGCCGGACTTCGAGGCAGAGGGTTGCCCTCCCTGGCCGTCTTCAGGGGCAGCTTCCCCAGTTCCCCCTCAACAGAGCCAGGCTGGGGGCTGTTCAAGGCCATTTTCCCACCAGTGCTCAAGCCAGAAGCGGGGGCCTTGGGAGTGGTCTCAGGGTGCTGGAGGGGATCGAAGTTTTCCTTTTGTTCTACTGCAAGCTCTTTGGGCTTCTCCGCGGGGGGAGAGCGAGGAGTCAGCCTGCCCTGGGACACTTTCCTCTGGTCATTCTGCTTTCGGTCAGCTACCCCTTTGGGGACGTTCTGAAAGAGACAAGGTCGAGTTGGCGCCGTGGCACAGGCGGGGCAGGGGACAGGTGAAGACATTTCTGCTGTGGGTCTCCTTCCCCCCCCACCCCCCAGACTCTGCCAAGGAGCCTTTGTGTGTATGTGGTTGGGGGAGGGCTTCTCAGTGGCTCTGGGCCAGCAGTGAGGACCCACAAACAAGCCTGAGGTCTGTATGGCCCAGAGGACAATGGAGCTGCAGTCGGGATCCAGCCAAGAACTTGCCATGGGCTGGCGGCTGAGCAGAGAGGAGGAGAAGGCCGGCCTGGCCCAGCTCAGCTGCCCCAGATTCCAGTCTTGGCTCTGCCTGGCAAGGCCCTTAACTCCTAAGGACTCGGATCCCCCTGCAGGCTTGTGACCCTCTCAAAATACGTCTGCGTGTGCATGAGGGGCGTGGCACTCTTCTGGGAAGAGAAGCCACAGCCTTCAATGATTTCTCAGAGGTCCACAACCCAACAGAGGTTAAGGATCATCAGAGCAGGCCTTTCTCGCAAAGGTGCTGGCTCACTGCACAGTTCTGAGACTCCCGCCCCCTGCTCCACTCCCCGTGGGAAATCCGCTCTGTGAGAGCGCCTGTGTGCCGACCCTCCGCCCGAGGACTGGCCCCTGGGCCTGGCTCTAGGTGAGCCTGTGTCCCAAAGCAGGCACCTTTCTCTGAGCAGGCACGGGGCACCTCTGCCCGCCCCAGGCAGCACCGCAGCCAGGGGCTGGATGTGCTCCTTGCCTCTGGCCGGCAGCCTGGCCTCCATGGAGGTCACCCCCAGTGACTCCGCCTGGGCAGCAGGGCAGCACACCCAACGGTTTCCACCCCTCCCCTCCCCCCAACCTCAGGCTGCTCAGGGGCCAGGCTCCTAGAAGACTCAGTCTCCCATTCCCAAATCCTCCAAACTGAGCAAAGCCCAAACTCACAGGCTCGCCAAGGTGAGGTGAAGGGATTTCGGCCTCATCCCCGCTCTGCGGGAAAAAGCAAGCACAGTAAGCCCACCGTGCGGAGACCTTTGCTCCAAATCCCCGAGATCCCCTCAGGTGAGGCCCCGGCAACGTCGTCAGCACCTCCCCACCCAGCACCCTCAGCTCCAGGGGTCATGGGGGGGGGGCTCCAAGTTTAGGGGTCGGGGAGAAACCAGTTGACCCAGAAAGAGCACAGTGCACGGTGCCGTTACCTGTGCTGGTGCTCCGGGCACAGGGGGCTGTGGGCCACCGCACACATCCAAACCTGGAACCGGCCAGATCCTGGTCAGTGATGCTCTGGGCCCTTTGGTAAAGACTTGCCCCTCCCCTTGCTCCCAAGCCTCCTCCCTGAGCAACCTCAAGCCTGAGGGCCTCCCTCCCGGTGGGCAGATTGGGTGGGTGGGACCTCTAAATCCTCACAGAAGCATGAGGGGCTGAGGCATAGGGAAATCAGCAGTGCCGAGCCCGAGCCCGAGCCGGCCCACAGCACCAACCAGCGCAGCCCGCTCTCCCTGCACCCTGCTGATCCAAGGGGGTGACCCTCAACGCAGCCCAGTAAAAGGAAAAGCAACCAAAACCCCCAAAGTAGCCCGAGCAGGAGGCCTGTCCAAATGAGCATTGCTCTCTCTGCATCTTCTCATAGCCCCTGCCATGACCTTGCCCGGAGCCCTGCTAGCCCAGAACCCCAGGGGGACGGGTACCTGCCTCCCGTGGGGCAACCCCACCGGGGAGCTGCCCAGGAGTCCTGAGTGGGAGCCTCACCTGGCGGGGTGGGGACGGCGAGGGAGTTGCTGCGAGAGCACGTAGGAGACGCTCCTGGGCTGAGGCCTGGGGACACAGCTGCGGAGACAGATGCAGGTTGGCGGGCATTTGGGAAGGTTTGGGACATGGGCATAACACGGACGCTTTCAGGGAACCACACCTGCTGTGTTGGGGCCAGCGGTAATTCTGCACTGCCACCTAAGGCTCTAAGCACAGCCCCACAGAGAGGCCCTCGGGTCATTTAAGGCGTGTGAAGTCACCCTGCTTGGCCAGCCTGACCTGAACTCAGAGCACCTTCCAGACCTGGCACGGCCGTTCCTCCAGGGCCCCCAGTACGGACCTGACTTCACGGGCGCCCTTGCCCTCTTTGGCACCTGCAGACTTGCCTAAAACCCGCCCCAACTTTCTGATCAGGAATTAGGATAAGTTGAGCCAGAGGGGCAGCAGGAGCATTTCAAGGTGCAGGAAAATCTCCCCAAGAGCCCTCGCTCTGCTGGGGGCCCGTGACAGGCTCTTCGGACTGCAGAGCAGGGACCCACAGGCCAGAGTCCCCTGGAGACTCCACCCACACAGGGCGAGCCAGGGTCTGGGCATCCGAATTTCTCCCCATGCAGGACTAAGGGTGGGCGTAGGGTGGGGCGGAAGCTGGTAGAGGGGAAGAAGGAGTTCAACTGGAGCTTGGGGTGTGCGTTGTGTGGGTTGACGTTTCCTGGAAGCCACTGTCGCTCCCCCTCTTCATGGAGGAACGACACTAAACCCTGCCTAGGCTTCTTATCCGAGTCACGGCACCATTATGTCGCTCCCCCTCTTCATGGAGGAACGACACTAAACCCTGCCTAGGCTTCTTATCCGAGTCACGGCACCATTATGTCGCTCCCCCTCTTCGTGGAGGAACGACACAGGACCCTGCGCTGTTCTTTCGTCTGCTCGGCCCTCCCCGGGTTTGCTGCTGGTTCTTCCCGGGTTGGCTACTATCCCTTCCACCTCCGTGGAAGGGCAGTTCCCCCTGGCCGCTTTCCCCACTTCCGCAGGGGAGCGGCACACCGCCGGCCGGCTTTCTCGGGGGCTGCACGGGTTCCCTTAGATGTTCCCCATAGATGTTCCCGGTGCATGCCGTCTCTCTCCTCCTTTATAGTCCTCCTCCGCCAATCCCAACTCGGCTGCCCACACGCCGAGTACGCTGCTCTCCAATCAGGAGCAAGTCCTACAGTTAATTGGTTGAACTGGAGGCAGCTGTGCGGAAGCTGTTTACTTCTCTCCCAGCGCCATATTGTGGGAGAGCAGATGCATAGAATAAGTCTTAATTCCAGTAACAGTCTAGTCCGGTTTGCTCCCCACAAGCCACAATGGTCGTACATGGTGAAAAGCCCGAGTTTCCTGGCCAGAGCTGGGCAGGCATTTTGGAGACTGAGAAATAGCACAGGGCTCTCTCCCCAGGGCTCCGACCTCCTGGGGCCTGGAAGCCCTGGGGCAGCCAGTTAACAGGGGTCCCTCTGTCTCCTCTGCAGTAAGACCCTCCCTGCAGCTGGGTTGGGTCCGGTCCGGCCTGGCCCGGCCCAGCCCTCCCCAGCTCAGAGCGCCCTGTGTAGCCACCTGTCCCTCCCGCCTGGCCTACCTGTCGGGGAGTCCCCGGGGCTGCTCCTGGACTTCCTGCCGCGCCGCGCCAGGAAGCGCTCGCTCACCGACTTGGCTTCTTCCAGCAGCGCCAGGTTTTTCTTCTTGTCCTCCTCCGAGATGCTGATGTCCGGCAGCTGGTCGTGGACTAGGTCAATGACGTGCCCCGCAGGGTCTGCGGGGAGGGCCGGCTCAGGCTGAGGCCCTGCTAACCACACACCTCGGCCCAGGGCTGCCACCTAGAGCTGCCCAGCCCGCCGCACCTCCGGCCTTTGCCCAGGGACACCCCTGGGCCTCCTCTGCAGGCCCGTCTGCTCCAGCCTGCTGCCTGTGGCTGGGGCAGGGCTCTGCTACAAGTGGCCATGAAGACGCAACTAGAGGAAGGCTTTGAGGGAGCCCCCCTCTCCCTATGCTGTCTGCTTCCCCGAGTGTTCCTCCAGCTGGTCTCTGTTTCTTCTGCAAGCTAGTGAGCTTCAGGTGTGTGGATAAAAGCTGCAACCTGAAGATCGCAGGCCACAGATGCGCACCATGGCCGCCAGTCCTCCCCTTGCGCCTCCACTCCACTGTTTACCCCCTTCCTTCCCCAGCAGCCCCCAGGGCTGGGGTGGATGAGCGGCACCACCCCTTCCCCTGTTACTCAAGAACATGGGAGACGCACACCTCACCTCCAGCCAACTGCATTTACCTGTAGATAGCCCTGGGGCCTGCCCCTCCTCTCTCTTCTGACTCCTAGGCTCTTCCCTGAACAATTGCGCCCCCACTGCCTGCTGGCTGGCCCCCACTCCCGTCCTGCACTGCTATCAGGGTTATCCTAAAAGCCATGTCCACCATCCCATTCTCCTGCATCCTCCAACGGGGCCACCCCAGGGGCCACGGGGAGCCAACGCGCCTCCCAGCTGGTCTCACACATTCGTATCCCCCCAGCCTCCACCATCACTTCTTTTGGCAGTAGCCCCTCATTTTTCAGGGGGTGAACCCCTTCTGATTGCTGGGAGAATTTTAGTTAGGAGAGTGCTAACCACGCCCACCCCAAGCCCCAAGGGTGGGACTGTGTATCAGCCTTGGCCACTAGAGGAATTCTGTTCCGTTGACCGCAAGGAATAGCATGAGGGTGGCCGCATGAGGCCCACGAGCGGCAATCCCGGGAAGTGTGTGGGTAGCATGGGGAAGCCAATGGGAGGTAAACTTGGAGTTGTGGTAGCCACTCACTACTTGTGTCAGGGTTGTGTGCTCCGTCTGCTCCCTGCCCAAGCAGAAAGCAAACACACAAAAGACTTGAGAAATGGCGTGGGCGATGACTAATCCAAACCCTGTGTGAGCACCTGGATTTGCTACCTGAAACCACAAGCCTGATTGATTGATGACTGATGATAATGAGATGATTGTGTCAGCTGATGTGAGCTGGACCTCTGATCGATTTAGCTGCCAGCACAATGCTCTGTCATGGCTCCTGCTCCCCGCTGTCACTTCGTCCTCCAGGAATGCCTTTCTTCTTCTTAGCTCTAAGGGGCGACTCAACCACCCTCTCCTTTGGAATATCTGCCCAGTCTTTGCCTCCCGAGAGAATGCATCCCTTTCTTGCCCAGTTACCCAAGCTGTTTTGTGAAAGCCCTTACAGTACGGTGTCCCAGTTGTATCTGTTCACGCCTTGGTCTCCTCATACGGAGCATACGAGCAACACGCAGGCAGGGACCAGGCATGGAGCAGCCTTCTGGTGGCCGCGGGGCAGGCTGGGAAAATTCATCTGGGGAATGAGTATGTGAGCCGGGCAGCCAGCCTGACACTCGGGCACTCTCTTACCTAGGTATGGGCCTTTGTAGCAGGAGGGCCCCAGAATTGAGCTTTACCCAGCTGTTCCCTCTTGGACTTCCTCATCTGCCTCTTCACTTCCTAGTCTTAACTTTTCACCACAAGAACTTGAAATTAGACATCGTAATTCTTCTGCATTCCAACATGAGGGGCTGATATAGGGATGAGCTGCCTTGCAGATCAGGAGAGGGGGAACGGCCCGAGTCCAGCCCAGCCGCTGGAGCTCAGTCTTCTACTCAAACACACCTTCGGGTCGGCCTAGCCCTTACCCAGAGAAGTCAGCGGGGCCGTGGAAACCTTCAGGTGGCGGTGAGAGAGCCTCCGGTGGGGGCTGTGAGCTCTGAAATACACAAGGGCCAGCTTGTTACGAAAATCTATCCCAGCTCGGCAATAGGCAGAACGAGGCCTCCATGGGGAGGGGCCTTTCTTCTGCAGGGGTCATTTGGATATTCGTGATGTCCTTCATGGGCCATGCAAAATGAACGACTTAAAAATCAGCCTGCCGGAGCCTGGCTGAGTTTTGAGCCCCACCTATGGTTGCCTTAGGAGCATTAGACCATGTGATTTTGCCGGCCTCACATGACCCGCTGGCCAGCCGTTCTCCACCCCTGCTCTCTGCTCCCCCAAAGTCTCGTCCCTGGCTTTCAACTTGGGAGCGCATCAGAACTGCCGCTCTGAGGTCCCACCTAGACCCGTGAGGTCAGGGACTCTAGGGGTGGCGGCGGCAAGCTGTGCTCTAACAAGTGCCCCAGTTGATTCCGACGCATGTGCAAGCTTTCCAACCTCTGATGTAAGGGGGTATATCTGGGATGTACTCTTTATTAGGGCCTAGACTCTGAGCTAACATCTAACTTGGAGAAATCTCATAAAACATAAGCAACTGGGGCTGGCACTGTGGCACAGCAGGTTAAAGCCCCAGCCTGCAGTGCTGGCATCCCATATGGGCGCTGGTTCTAGTCCCGGCTGCTCCACTTCCAATCCAGCTCTCTGCTATGGCCTGGGAAAGCAGTGGAGGATGGCCCAAGTCCTTGGGCCCCTGCACCTGCATGGGAGACATGGAAGAAGCTCCTGGCTCCTGGCTTCGGATCAGCTCAGCTCTGGATTTTGGGTCATTTGAGGAGTGAACCAGAGGATGGAAGACCCCTCTCTCTCTCTCTCTCTCTGGCTCTCTCTCTATATATAACTCTTTCAAATAAATAAAAAATAAATCTTTTTAAAAAAATGAAGCGGCCAGTGCCGCGGCTCACTTGGCTAATCCTCGTGCCGGCACCCTGGGTTCTAGTCCCGGTTGGGGCGCCGGATTCTGTGCCAGTTGCTCCTCTTCCAGTCCAGCTCTCTGCTGTGGCCCGGGAGTGCAGTGGAGGATGGCCCAGGTCCTTGGGCCCTGCACCCGCGTGGGAGACCAGGAGGAGGCACCTGGCTACAGATTGGCGCAGCACACCAGCCGTAGCGGCCACTTGGAGGGGGACCAACAGAAAAGGAAGACCTTTCTCTCTCTTCTCTCTCACTGTCTAACTCTGCCTGCCAAAAAAAAA